CTAGTGTCTGTTAAGTCGATGGAAACTGTTTCCAAGATAAACGACCAAAACAAAGTAGTTCAAAATCAGACTGCCAGTTAATGAATCTAAATCAAATTGTCTTCCTACAGACGCTATTCTGAAAGATTTTGAACAAGTTTGTGTGGGAGGACGCACAGGAAAGAGGCATTTAGACAACGCACAACAGGCAAGGAGTCATGCTAAGAGGTTCTGCCTGTATATGCTCGGTGGCATGCCGTCACCTGCTGGGCAGCAGGACCTGGGATTTCTGGACCAGAAGGACAGGCTACGCAGGTGTGTACTGCTATGTCCACATTTAATTGTGGCATTCAATTAAAGTAGATGGAATGAAATTTAAAGTGTAAAAGTGAATGAGAAAATTGACTGTCATTCCCTAGGTATCCAAAATACCTTGAAGAGAATGGGTATGCACTGACTTCTGTGAAGCGCATGCTGTGTAATGTGGGCATGTTCCTCAAGTACATTCAATCGAGCCATGAAAAAGCTAGTAAGCTGTCTCAGGGACAACTTTCTGGTATTTTACATGAGCTCAAAACATTGAAGGCTGGAGTATATAAGAAGTTTAAAGACAAGGTTCTGCGTAAGAAAGCTGGTAAGAGCTTCTATGTGTTTCTTTATCATATTTCGTCTGGAAGAATGTATAAATTTCCAATGTTTGCACAGAGAAAGAACCCCCAATAGCTGTGGACACAGAGTTCATGACGGTTGCCACAAAAAGGATTCCTGAACTGCTATGTAAGTGGTTCCAGATTTACATTAATTAGTTTCCTCTTCTCCTGATAACTGCTCAGCATCTTTGTATTGACTTCATTCAGTTTGTAACTCAATCTCTATATTTTTCAGATTACGTGGAGATGCACCAAGATGGAGTCCACTTCCCAGATTGTGTAGGACACCAGCATTCTGAAGAGGCCTCATTACACAATAGTCCTGTTTCTCATCAGCCCAGCAGAACCCACCAGCCTTCATCCTGGCAGGATCCACCAGCCTTCAATGCGGCAGAATCCAACAGCCTTTCCGGGGAAGCAGAAACAAGCAGCCTTTTTGGGGAAGCAGAAACAAGCAACCTTTTTGGGGAAGCAGAAACAAGCAGCCTTTTTGGGGAAGCCGAATTTAGTAGCCTTTTAGGGGAAGCAGAAACAAGCAACGTTTTTGGGGAAGCCGAATTTAGTAGCCTTTTAGGGGAAGCAGAAACAAGCAACGTTTTTGGGGAAGCCGAATTTAGTAGCCTTTTAGGGGAAGCAGAAACCAGCAGCCTTTTTGGCGAAGCATATTTTCGGTAGTAGAACATAATAATGGAAGATATCTGAAAGTCTTTTTTTCTGCCAATATTTGTATTTTCTTTTTTTTTGTATTATTTTTTAAAACTTCCATCATGTTGTATTTGGTAAAGAAAGCAATAAGCAATTTAATTTTTAGAATCTTTGTCTGTTTTTCTGATTTTATCACTTTAATGTCAAATGTTCCGAATAAAAATTATTAGCAGCAAAATATATTGGCTTAAGACTTTTTTACTTGAACCTAAAATAGTTATATAAAAAACTTAATTGTTTGCCATGAATAACTTCAGAAAATTAAATGCTATTATGGTGTCACATTTGTTCTTTTTCACAATTAATTAGTTTTTTTCAATTTCAAATTTTATTCCAGGGTAGCCAGGCCTGGGCTGTAGAGTGTTGGTTGGAATCTTTATACACTGAGGGAATTAATCAGCTAATAATTAATTATAATTACAGCAAAAAAATTGGGCGGTCAAAGAGGGAGAGATCTTTTTTTCCACTAGTCAACTCAATATCTTATGTAAAGAACTAATTACATAATGATGCAAATCCTAATGATAAAGACACTGAATTGTTAAAAAGCTAAATGAACTAAATTACTTAAAAGAAACTTTAGTTGAATGTGCAGTTGATTTTTCTCTCCACTAGATGGAGGCACAGGAGCCAGATTATGGACAAGGGTGTGTGCTCCCTAGCACAGACAGTAGAGGATGATGATATATAGGAAGAAAACCCAGTTGCTCATTTGAGCACTCGAAATAGCTCCGAGACGGTGAGCGTCAGACGGGCCAAACTCGGCACAGAGGGTCAGCGGGAGGTGTGGCAGGTGCCCGGGAAGTCCGACTGGCATAGCACGGCCCCTCTGCGTTGCTGCCATCGACCCCCATTGATTTGAAAAAGCGGATCGCGTGGTTTAGGGCCGCCTGCCTAATCAGTTAGGAGAGGGTTGGAAACGGTAAGGATTAGCCTAAGAGATGACAACCAGTTGTGGGTTTAGATAGAGGTGTAAGGTCGAAGAGAGGGGGAGAGGTGGTTAGGTTAGCAGGGGTCAAAGGTCAAGTTTAGAAAAGTGGAGAAAATGGCTGTTATTTTAATTTTGTTCCAATTTCATTTGTGTAAAATAAAGTTCATTCATTTCAAATAAACGTCTTTTATTGTCTGGCAGAAATGGTCGCTTAATTTTTATTACAACTGGGTCACGGCCTAAAAATGTATCTTTTTATGGTCTCTGAGTCGTCAGGGTGAGGTCTTGTTATGTGAATCATTTCTGTTTTTGAGGCTCGGTGAGAAGTGGTTATCCACACTTGTTTCTTTTGTTTCCTTTTTTTTTCCCCGCCAGCAGGTGAAACAAAAAAAACACCTGTAATTATTGATTTATGCAATCCTCAGCTTTGCATTATGAATCTGTTATTCTTAAACATGTCTATGTTGTAACAAAATATTTAAAACTTAAAACATTAATACTTTTTTTTAAACAATACAAAGGCCTAAATGTTGCCACAAAAAAGAAACACCCAAATGTTATTTTTGTAAAACAAAGAATAGAAAAATCTTTCCTAAAGTTTGGTCAGATTCAGGGACAAAGACAGTGGCAAGGCACCAAATGAAATGAATAGGTGATTCTTTTTTTTTTTTGCAGCAGCAGCAGCATTCCATGTCCCCATGTTTGGCTTACAATTATTTTTTGTAAAATGGGCCAAATATTTACAACAAAATGTTTTAATGGTCCATTTAGATCATGTTTGCCATTACTCAGATATCAATGAAATGCCTTTTAAATCTCATTTTGTTCTTTACACACTTTCTTAGTGACTGACATGTTCCATTTAATTCACAATGTCTTCATCTCCCATTCTTTGCAGCTGGACACTTGCTCTTTTCCCCTCTCAGCTGCAGCTTCCGGGCCACACTTTCAGTGCAGAATGTTCCTGTGCTGCCCGGGTCCAAAAATGCACATGTCAGCACAGCGGTCTTTGTTTTTGGACTCCTGACTTGAACCGCAACGATAGAAAGGTTTGAGTTATCTTTGTTTCAGGTCTCAGGTGGAGGGACAGGCAAACAGATGCAAATAACCTGTTTTAACAGGAAAAGAACAAATGAGCCACAGGAGACGGTGTTGCTGTGCTGGTAGCTCTCATCCGAATGGAAGGGAGCTTCCTCGGCACCGTCAGTCCCGCAAGAGCCCGCTTCTGCCATCTAGCGGCGCACCCGTGTTACTGCGTGACATTGCTCCAAAACTCCAAACAACTAAAATCACAATTTAATCCAACAAATGTGGCCACACTTTGTGGGGGTCACATCTTCGTCACAGACCCTGACATGACCACAGGTCTGAGTCATTGTGGAGGTGGTACTCAAAAGATTCTTTGGAGGTCTTGAGAAAACTCCTGTGCTCTCCTCACGGATGTGCAGGACACTTGGATGCCGCCGGTGACAAACAGAACAGACCAAACGACTTCTGCATTCTGTGCTTAATATGTCCCACCTTCAAGCAGCCAAAACACACGCCCTTTTCTTTAATAATGCTTACTTTATCTTTATGCGGCTCTGTCGTCAAACGTGAAGCGCTTGTCAACAGCATGATTACTTTGGAGACAACACAGACAGCTGAGGCTTGAGGACTTGCCCTCATCTCCAGATGGACATTCATTCTTTACTGCAGCAACATTTGTAGCAAAGCTACTTCCCCTGTTCTGTTTGGTAAAGCTGCTGGTTCTGGAGTTGAGCTCTCGATGGTCCATGACGTTAGCAAACAGTGGATCAGACACAACTTTAACTTGCTTTTCAATAAAAACAACACGATCGGTGAATAATGCCCTCTGACCCCTGCTTTCCTGCAGGTCACAGGCCACATTTCACCATCTTTCCCTCGTTTTATAGGGAAGCTTCCAGGGTTATGCTCCTCATATTGGATGGCAAGTCCAGTTCCTTCATATGAATGAATATGCTTTGTTAAGTTTGAGCGTCCCTTAAGAAACAGAGGGAATGCTTGCAGTGATTTAATATCCTCATTCTTAATAGCTGGCCAGTTGTTAATTTTGTCCATATATAGGCCTGTGCAATTTTATATTCAATTCCAAAATGTTCATAAAGAAGACTTTTAGCTTCAAGACAGCCCAGGTCTGGTGGTAAATGCTGGCAACTACGCACAACATAGGAATTCGTGCCCACAGCAGGAAACTAGAAATGTGTCTGCAGCCCCAATGGTCCCTGCAATTTCCAATTACGAGGGAGAACTGGATTTTACCCTGAAATTTAACGAATCCGGTACAGCCAAGAGCGTCACCTCCACGTTTTCAGAAAAGTTAACCAAACTATTCTGCCATCTGGCCAAGACAACTCCGACTGGGATTTTGGTTAAGAAGGAGCCTCCGCCGGGCGCCGTCATCAGAGCAACGGCCGTGTATAAGAAGACTGAGCATGTGGCCGAAGTCGTCGAGAGGTGCCCACACCACCAAAGTGAAGACACGTCCGACAACCGGAGCCATCTGATCCGAGTGGAGGGCAGCCAGCTGGCCCAGTACTTTGAGGATCCGAACACCAAAAGGCAGAGAGTGACCGTGCCTTACGAACGCCCACAGCGGGAATCTGAGATGACGACCATCCTGCTGAGCTTCATGTGCAACAGCTCCTGCACTGAAAAAAATAACTCTTTGGATTAACATAAAAAAATCATGGAAAGATTTTCCACCTGATTACTTTGCTTTATTTCAGCACTATGTAATTTTGTTACTCCGATTTAAAGCAAATGTGTTGGTTCAACTTAATTTATTAAGGTTATTCCAATTTAAAGCAAATGTGTTGGTTCAACTTAATTTTTGTGGTTGATTCAACTTATTTACTTTAGTTGGACCCAATGTAATTTAATAGAGCCAGCCTAACTAATTTTACACTGATAACTTCACACTACTTAATTAAGTTGATCCAACTCATGAAAATTAAGTTAGCTGAACAAACATGCTTCATGCTGAAAGAAAGCTATATAATCGTGTGGAAAATCTTTCCATGATT